GTTTCTCGTGTCTTTCGGGTCTAATATCATCATTTGGTATTTTAGAGAATTTATCCGAGTACTAATTTTTCTTGCCACTTTAGAAAATTATTTGAGTGCTCATACTTAGTCTTTTAGACTTAAAATATATATTTGGATGCATCGTTACATGTGTGATGTCTTAATGTTGCACCTTTGGGTGTCTAACTTTTATATAAAAGAGGGCTCTTTTATATACTTTAAACGCTATGAAGAGGACGTCTCCTTTTCATTCAGGCGTAAAATAGGATCGATTGAACCGAGTAGACTTTTAGTCTGAGGCCGGTAGGATTTACAAGAGTATTGACCCCATTAAAATTTATGGGAGTATTGACCCGGTAAGACATTGAGTTTGAGGGAGTATTGATCCCAAATAAATATATATCCTAGTAGATTTGTCCTGAAGAGACATTTAATCTAATTGGATTTTGAATCCAAATTGGAGTATATGAATATACTTCCAAGTAGAGAGGGACACATGTCCGAAATAATATTTGAGATTTTCATTTATATATACGGGATAATCGATCCGAGTCATAATACAATTAGCCATTAAGAAAGGCCTATATATTTAACTTGGATGGTCGTTGTTGGACCAATTATAAGTCACGTGTTTGTTCAAAGTGAACTTTATTTTGGTGGCATATTTGCATACCTTTATCTTGACTTAGATGTAAAACTCTCGTTTTTTATCGTGGGATTCTTGACTCTGACATGGAGTTCTCGATCCTTTTTGTATAGTATATGTATTTTTGAAGAACTCATTCAACACTGTTTGAAGTGTTTATGTTTGATATGAGCAAGACAACTAATTGAGTTGAGATGGTAATTAATGTCGGAATACTCTTAGGAATTCTATCTCCCAAGGCAATCAATTGCTTGTATCACTTCTTATAATGTCAGGTCAAATTGACTAATCTTCAAGTATAAGTAATCTCCCTAGTGTTTGAGTTTTGAGGTATGAGAACTCAAACACTGGAATCATAATTTGACAGTCTGCAGTTTAATAGTCCCTAGTAGGATAGTTAGTTTCGATATTGATGGACTTTCAAATGGTCCAGTTCCAACATAGGAATGGTACCAGATCTCTTTTTATCAAATATTTGTTACTCTGGACGGGAACTATGGAGGTTCCAAAATATTGCCGAAACCTGAGTAATTTTCACTGCTTTCTTTATAAATTTCTCGCATCATGTATTTTGTTTGTTTGGCCCATGTGGTATTTTAGCTTTTGGAGCCTTGAATATTCTCAAATATAATTCTCCTTCAACAAGGCAGTAGAGGATGAGACGTACTCAGAGTTATCGAGAGCATGCTTGTCTTTTAATAAAGTCTCATTCTACAGGTAATAAATGAATATTATGCCAATTCCAACTTAAATTAGTCAGGCTTACCTCATTTTCATTCTAATTGATGATAGATTAGGGATTGCCTAAATAAGGGATGGCTCGATCCCGAGACTGTTTGATTCGGAAACGATATTTCTCAATAAGAGCCTGGGGTTGCTTTCGGAGTTAGTGATATCAACAATAGATCCGAGACTAGCACATCCGGCTCGATTTTCTTGGGCTGCATAGTTTTCTTGGATTTGATCAATCGTTCAATCAATATTTTTGCTCTGAGTCCCCAAGCTAATTTAAGCCCTGTAGCATATGCTTCATACTTGACTTTGTTGTTAGTAATAAAATAACTTTTATGAATTATCTAACTACTTTCCCTGATAGGCATTAAGCATTGTCCCTAACTCGGGAAGTTTAGTACTTGTGGACCTAATTGTGTAAACGGTCCAGATTCCGGGAATTATCCCAGAAATAACATGTGTTATTTTTTTTAGCTTCGGGTAATATGTTCGTGCTAAGATTAATCATGAAATCTGCTAAATTTGTGATTTTATAGTCGTACGTGGCTGATAAATAATATCACATTCACTTAGTTCGACTACTAATTTAGCTAGCCTTCCTGACAGTTCATGTTTATGCAAAATATTGCATAATGAAAATATAGTGACTACGGGAATTGAATGACATTGAAATAAAGCCTTAGATTTAGGGCAACTACAATTAATGCCAACTTATCAAAATGTAGATATGTAGTTTCCGTATCTAAGAGCATTTTATAATAGATAGGAGAATGTGTACCTTTATCTTCTTGAATTAAAATTGCATTTACCGAGACATCCGAGATAATTTGGTGTACCGGCAATCATCTTTCTCCTCGGAATTTTGAAAGTAATGATGTGTTGTTGTTAGATAGCAAGTTCGAATGATTCGACTTTTCGGACTAAACCGATCTTTCAAAGTTCTGTAACTTTATCTTTTATTATTTGACTCTAGTTTCTTCTTTTGCTTGACCGGATTATACCGTGGGTCAATATTGAGCATATAAACCTTTACCTCCGGTGGTACACCTGTTATGTTAGCATGGAGGCAAGCAAAGCAATTTTTGTTAACATGTGAAAGTTTAATAACTTACCTTTATATTCGATGTCGAGTCTCGACCAACGTAAACCTTCCTATTTGGAAAGTCAATGATAATTTCTAGTTCTTCGGCATTTGACCTCGTGGCTTCTGATGCTTTCAGTTCAATAATTGCTTCCGAAAATATTTGTATAATTGTCCAAGGTTATTAATGAACCTTCCTTCCTCATGGTCTATTCCATCCCGCAACTATCTCTTCTTTTTCAGTTGTTAGGTGTGGTATCTTTTTAAGCAATCTCGTGGCTATTTTACCCATATTCCTCCTAATCTTCATTCTTCTCCTATGAAATTTTATAATTTAGCAAGGTAATTCCTTACCTGTTCGGGTAGATTCGGATATTTTTCAGCCCGTGAAGAAAATCTCGTATCACTTTTGCTCGGACCTATTTTTAGATTTTTGCATTTAGATTCGGATCACCCAAGAATCACATTCGCTTGATCCCCGGACCTGTTTTTGACTTTCAATTGAATGAACGTGTCTTCCTCTATTCGAAGCTTTGTATTATATTGAATGTAAATTTTACTCCTCAGTTCCGGGAAGGTCCGGCGTTATTCTTCTGACTCCTTCAATCGGATCCGGAATCACCTCGGTTTGGTTTTTGAACCTGGTGTATCTGAACCTCCTGTGCCGGAACTATTTCGTACAGATCCGTTATAATTAGTTCTGGTACTGATAGTTGCGGTACCAATATATCAATGTACATTCTCTATTTTTCTCTACTTGTTGCTTACATATCATTATCATGGCTATTCTTCCCTTTTTATTTTGCATGGTAAAGTCATCTCCAACTTGGTTGTCCTCAACTATGTTGATTGCAAAATTTCAGCCATGATGAAGGTTTAAACTGAAAACAAGCGAATATTAACAAATATTGTTACTATCTTTGGATGAATAACAAATTTGCTTGAGTTCCCAGTAACGGAACCAAACTGTTTAACCAACAAAATAGTTTTCAAGGTCAAAGCAATAATTTTATATGACGGGCCACAATCAACCGATTCAATCCGAAAGATATAAAATTTCGTTAATACAACGTGATAGAGAAGTGGAAAATAAATTCAATGACAGATAATATAATAAAAATAAAGCAGAGAAAAAATTTCCTATTGAATGATCCTTGATAGGATAATGAGCCGAACAGAGCATGAAGGGCCGAATTATGGCTAACTCGAGAGCAATATGCTATAAATTACAATGTATAGAACTGTAGAGAAGAAAATTAGATTCCCCTGATGGTGGTAAAAGTATGTCTATTTATAGGGCTAAATCTAAGTAACTAGTCTCCTTGAATTATGGGTCCATTATGAGCATTTACTAAATCCATCCATTACTTTTGGAAGACTTGTAACAGCTGTGTAAATGCTGGAATTCCGTAATTGATGAGTTAATTTCATAACTGATGAATTAATTCCGTAATTAATGAGTCAATCACGTGCCTGTTGAGTCAATCTCATAATTAATTGCATTGTTCTGACCGTTACAATCATTTATTGCATTTATTAATAATTGATTTGTAACTAATGGTGTAATGATGGTAAATCTCATATAATCCGGGATTAATTGATTCCTTCCTCATTTGTAATTATGAGATATTCTCCCGCACCTGATCCGGGCTATTTCATGATGATCAGTTTCGGGGCTAACATGCACGGTATGAGTATGTTCGGTCCCGGGGGTGTTTCACATATCATCTTTACATGCCATTCTTCGCTTTTCTTCAAACTTTACTAATACGTGTCGCCATTTAATAGACCCACATAGCGAGTCTAATTTTTACTAATACACTAATTATATTGTCTGAATCGTAAACTAATACCAATACCTCTTGAAATCCATTCCTATTACAAATTTAATAATTTGAAAACTTATTCTATTGTCTGAATCCATTAGGAATAAGGACTCAAACACTTCTACAAAAGAAGCCACTATTTTATATTCTCCATCATAAATTTTTTGAGAGGTATTACTCCATAAGAAAATTCTGCAGCAAAAGGTATTATTTCTTCCTCTTCGCTTACTATTGGTTAGACCTCTAACTCTTTTTACTAGCTATTTATAACTAGCATTGTCAATACAAGTTATCGCAATATATTTTGATATTGCGGTAACTTTTCCCCTTATTCTATCGCTCTCAATAACACGACAATAGCATATTTGATTACTTTGTTTTTGAAATAATATCAAAACTTAACTCTTTTTGCAGGTGTAAAACATGAGGTTAAATCTTGTGTGTCCTGTAGAGAGTACTATTGCTATAAAATACAGGTGCATAGAGGAGAAAAATCCATATTGCTACTATGTGAACGATTATTGCAACAATTTGTGGTTGACATGTACATCAAATTGGAAACAACGAGACTTGAGTATTTCTTATTTGACCAATCAAATTTTAGAAGGGAAATATTGCAAGGTTTAGTCGATAGTATCATGGCTGGAGAATGTAGAGGAGATAAAGTTGGTCAGAGAGTAATACTTCCGGCATCATTTATCGGAGGTCCTAGGATATGCGTCGCCCATATATGGATGCTATGGCACTGGTTCAACGTTTTGGCAAACCAGACCTATTTATCACAATGACATGTAATGCTGATTGGGCGGAGATTCAAGAAAATTTACACGAAGGCCAACTTCCTCAAGACAGGCCTGACTTGGTGACAAGAGTTTTCAGAGCTAAATTGCAGGACTTAAAGGATCAAATATTCCACAAACAAATATTTGGGCCAATCGCAGCGCATGCATTTGTGGTTGAATTTCAAAAAAGAGGTCTACCTCACATACACCTTTTATTAATACTTAAAGAAGGGCCCAAGATAATATCACCATATCAGTATGACAAGTTTATTACAGCGGAATTGCCAGACAAAGACGAATATCCACTATTGCACGAATTAGTTGTCAAGAATATGATGCACGGTCCATGTGGAAACTATCGTCCATCAAATCCTTGCATGAAGGATGATCAGTGCAAAAACCATTATCCTCGACCATTTAGCAATAAGTCAATACAGGGATAGAATGGATACCCTATTTATAGGAGAAGAAATGATGGGAAGAGCGTAAAAGTTTGTGGCATGTTCATGAATAATCAGTGGGTTGTGCCCTATAATCCTTATCTACTAACTCGATACAATTGTCATATTAATATGGAAGCTTGCTCCGGAGTTAAGGCAATAAAATATTTGTATAAATATATATATAAAGGTCATGATAGATGTGCTGTTTATATTGAATCAGATGATAGGGAAAGAATAGTTGATGAAATTAAAAACTTCTAAGATGCGCGTTGGGTATCTCCGCCAAAAGCACTTTGGAGAATTTATGAGTTTAATCTCAATGAGATGCAACCTCCGGTCATTAATCTTCAGCTACATCTCCCAGATAAACAAGCAGGTATAATATTTTTTTTATATAAAGTGAACTTTGTTACAGTATTCTTAAATTAATATTAATGTGACATGAAGAAGGTTATCTAAGTTTCTAATGGAAGTTTAATAACAATATTCCATTGAGTATACTACGCTCAGTTGCATACTTCTGCCATGAATTTTTAAATCAAATTCATATTAAATTATGAAAACAGAAACAATTTGCTGTCTTCATTTTTCGATGGTGCAGAACGTGAAAGACCCTTTCAAACCTTTATTGTCTTCATTTTTCTTTAGTTCCCTATCTTCTACAGGATTTGTCGATTCTCTTTTCATAACGATGATGATTTAATTCTCTTTATTACCCTGCTCTTGTTTTCTCCCTTGTAGTGATTAATTTTTTTAGGCCATATAAGCTAGACAGTTCTTTTTGACACTTCTTTTGCACCTTGAGAATGTGCTTCTGACATCAGAAAGATGTAATGATAGTGTGTTATTTCTTTAATTCTTTGGTTAATATGGATAAAGATGTTACGGCCTTGTTGGGTCAGAAAGATGTCACTATAATTCTTTTGATTGTTTGATAAATAAATTTAAAATGTTGCATCCATTTTTGCAACTTTAGGAAGATCTATTATCCTTTTCCTATGAAAAAAAATCGATATGCATTCTGTGGAATAGTCAATGTGTGCATAAGCTGGTCCGAACACCATAGTCATAAAGAAAAAAAGTGGATATGCAAGAGAAAAGGGGAAGATAAAAAGCCATACAGATAGTGTTCTCAGATTTATGCTTGGCTACAATTAGATATCTCTTATTTTTCTTATATTCATTATCCATCCTCAAGACATCTGGTAATGAATATCTACTATACAGTTTGCTGGTTTTTTGGATTACAGAAACAATGATACACTATGCTTTCAATGTATTTTCCGTATGCAATAAGTGACAAAACTCATTCCACCATTTCCTGCTTTGATGAAGGTTCAAATTTGTGTGTAGGTTATTGCATTTGTGACATTCACTGTTAAATACAAGTTTTTAATTCTTATTTCTTTTTTATTGATCGGTCACATGAGATATTGTGTTCAAATATGTCGTGCTCACATTATTGGTTTTATAACTTTAACACAAGATATACTGACCTATACATTTATATCTTTATTTACAGTACTATTGGAAAAAGCAAAATTTGCCAACTGTTATAGCATCAGACAATGTCAAAAAAATAATGCTCACGGAGTATTTCAAGATATGCTCAACAGACGAGGAAGCACGAATGTACCTATACAAAGAATTCCCAGAGTATTATGTATGGAACTCTCAAGCAAAGACGGGGGCAAAAGACAAAAAAGATCGGTAATTGGTCGAATTGCTACAGGTAACGAAATTAATATTTCGCGCAATATATTTTTTTATATCTTTCTGGAAATTTCATCTATTTTCCTTTTATCTTGAAAATGCAGCTAATCTTAGAGAAGGTGAAAGGTACTACTTGAAATTGTTGCTGAATCATGTCAGAGGACCATTTTCGTTCGAAGACTTACTCATGGTTAATGAAAGAGACTGTCAAACATTCAAGGAAGCTGTAAAAGAAAGAGGGTTACTAGAATCAGATAACAGTATTTCTGAATGCTTACGCGAGGCAGTTCTCTTCAAAATGCCATCGGCTCTTAGAAATTTGTTTGCAACTATATTGGTACATTGTGATCCAACGGACATTAGAAAATTGTGGGACACATATTGCGAGGATATGTCAGAGGACTTTAGAAGAATACATAAATATTTATCTGATACTCAACTACAATGCACGTTGAAGAGCATTAATTATTTTCTACAAAGCATGGGCAAGAGTGCTGGAAAATATGATTTACCTAAACTCAATCAGTGTCGAGATGAAAATGTTCCCACAGAATGCAGAGAGATTATTGAAGAAAAGGCTATACAAGTGTCTGAAGAAGATTTTAATGCACAATCAAAGCTAAATCCTGAACAAGAGCAAGCTTTCAAGATTATATTGCAAAGAGTCGATTTTGGTAGAGCAGGTTTGTTCTTTGTAGATGGCCCAGGAGGAACCGGAAAAACATTCCTTTATCGTGCATTACTTGCAAATGTCAGATCAAGAAGTATGATAGCATTAGCAACAACAACAAGTGGTGTAGCAGCAACAATTTTACCAGGGGGTCGTACCGTTCACTCTAGATTCGACATACCTCTTGAAACAAGTGAAATAATCATCACAAATATGTCAAAGCAGAGTGGTGGAGCTAAATTGATACGAAAGGCAAAGTTGATATTATGGGATGAAGAGCCTATGGCAATGCGTCAAACTATCAAAACAGTTGACAGGAGCTTCGGAGATATAATGGATGTAGATGAACCGTTTGGTGGAAAAATAATGATTTTTGGAGGTGATTTTCGTCAAGTACTACCAGTAGTTCCAAAATCAACAAGAGTTGAGACTGTAAATGCTAGCTTGGTTAGATCGTACTTATGGCCTAAAATGGAAAAAGATTTAACTAACAAAAAATATGAGAGCAAGGACAGATCCAGCATTCAGTGATTTTTTGCTTCGCATCGGCAATGGTGAAGAGCATACAATAAAAGATGATTTGGTCCTTCTACCAGAACAATTGGTTATCAAGTCCAATGGTAATATCAGTGGTGAGGATCGCTTAATAAGCGAAATATTTCCATCATTAGATAAAAATGGAAGTTGTGCAAAGTACATGACGGAAAGGGCTATCTTAGCAAGTAGAAATGAATATGTTGATCAACTAAATGAGATGTTGATTGCCAAGTTCCCTGGTGAAAGCAAAACATTTATCAGTTTTGACTCGGCAGAAGATGATACCAACAACTACTACCAGGAAGAATACTTAAATACTTTAATACCAAATGGCCTTCCACCACACAGGTTCGTTTTGCAGTTTATTATTTTAAATTAACATTCTATCTACTATTAGTTACATAAAATAAATATTAAATAGCTTAAGTAATTATATATTACCTCTCATCCGNCTGTCGTCGTTAATGTCTAATTAGAGTGTCGTGGCTATTCATATGATAACACTAGGATTTGTGAGCCGCTAAGTTTTTTTTTTTTTTTTTTTTTTTTTTTTTTTTTTTTTTTTTTGCTGTCACTACTTATCCCATTACATTGATCAGAATGCAAACTAGGTTTGCAAGAATTAGAAAAAATTGAATACAAACTACATGTAACTTACAAAGTAATTATTAAGTACATTAATGGAAAAGCGGAAATTACATGTAAGTTTCTAAGTCTGTGAAACAAAAATAAAGTGTCCTTGAAGTTCTCGAAATTTTCTAGCTACTAGCATAAAAAATTCTAATACCATCAGGTTAAATTACTCTATGATATTTCTATCAGCTGAGTGTTGTCTGTTTAATTGAAAAAAAAAAGAAACGTAGGAGATTTAAATAAATAAATAAATAGAAGAAGGGCCATATTAGTCAAGTTGAAACCACATAACACCCTTTGCAATTTTTGGTGAAATTTTGGTCGGCAAAAAACATGTCACAGCACCGCGTCTGGTTTATATCCGGAAAATAGCCATTTCAGTGTGATTTTCTTGGCCAGCTATATCGTCACTTTAATTTTAAGTGATAGTTAAAACTTAAGGTAGGCACATACACACAGAAAGGCGTGTAAGTATTGGATTTTCTTTCTTCAGTCATGTAAACTCTTTAATGAATAATAGTTTTAAAGTGTGGTGCTGCAGAAAGAAGTTAACAAAACTTAGTAATTGAAGTGAATTAAACCTGCTTTTTACTCTTTCTTTATCATCTTTTTGTTTATGAAGATATCCTTATTAATTTAAAATTGATCTCTTATTGTATATAGGTTGATTTTGAAGAAAAATGCACCTATCATGTTACTGAGAAACTTAGATCCATCAAATGGCTAATGCAATGGTACAAGGATGGTATGTAGAAGTTTTGATAACAATGTCATACATGCAGAAATCATGATGGGTCAGTGTACTTTCAAACATGTGTTCATCCCCAGAATTCAACTTTCGCCTCCGGAAAATGAAGGATATCCTTTTAAATTTATCCGAAAGTAATTTCCAGTACGCTTGTGTTTTGCAATGACAATAAATAAAGCACAACGGCAAACAATTCCAAATGTTGGACTGTATTTGCCGCAACATGTTTTCTCGCACAGACAACTATATGTTGCACTTTCAAGAGGAATATCATTATCCACAACAAAAGTTCTGGTCATGACAAAACAACCAAAGCGTCAGAAGGGAACATACACAAAGAACATCGTCTATCAAGAAGTCTTAGGTAAAAAATATCATAATACATAGTTCTATACTATAAGTATATAATTATTTTGTCTAACTAACATAACTAAATTGAACGTTTTTGCAGGTTTAGATGATGTGGTCCAATCAGTTTGAATTCATAACTTATGCTAATGTAATGATATTTTCCGGCATTGAATGATTGTTGGATTCTATATAATTCTCTCATTAATTAAATTGCATGCTCCTTTATATACATAATTGCCTAAAACATTACGTGCTATTATCAGCACGTTCATAGAAACTAGTTATTATAAAAATGAGAAGCCCTAAACTAGAAAGTTAAAGGGAAATTTACCTATCTATACCGTAATA